AGTATTGAAGGATATATCTGGTGTTGTTTGATTTGCAATCCAGAGCAATTACCATGTGGTTGACTGAAACTCATCCTTTTTCCTCTTAGACTCCTGTTCTTATTTCTACTTCCTTAGAGTTGTAGTGATTCTAGGGAATCTTCATATTTTGATTGATTCAAGTGAATATCTTCATTCAGTTGATTAATATAAATACCAAGGCATTTAAAAGCTTCTTGCTGTTCATTGCTGATATTAAACTTTTGTTTCGGTTTATTTATTACTGAAGACTTGAATTGATCAGTTCCTACCCAAAAGAAATCATCTACCTGAGCTGACATAATGTCATGCAGATGTCCTTCACAATGGTAGAAAATATAGTTTCATCATATCTGCTCTTTCTCATTTGTAAGGAATTCAGCTCCCTAGAAATATACAAATGCCACATTCTTGCTGCTTCATACACATATTTTCTCAACTGCCAAATTTTATCTATATTTGCCTCAGGTGGTGGTTTCAGAAATACATTTCTGTCAAGTTCTTATCCCTGTAGGTATGCACTTTGTATGTTTAGTGAATTGATTCCAGGTCGGATTCCAGGTTGGAGAGTCTGATCTAATAATCTCTTTATTTTTGAAACTTCTAGCTACTAATTTGGCTTTTATTTTACCATTCTTTTCTGTAGTCACCCATCTCACTGAGATTAATTTCTGACCAATGTTTTCAACATCATGATATACATTGTAATCTCTCCATTTTTCAAGCTATTTAAACATTGCTTCTAATGTTTCTGGAGAATAAGAGTTAGCAATCAAGACTTCTTTGACCTCAATCTCCTTCCATTCCTTGAAAGTTTTCTTCCAATCAATACTTAAGGCTTTATCTAAATTTTTGTCATAAATATTTAACCAGTCAGCATAATTGCTTGTTGTTTTATCTGCCAGGGAAATGATAGCATATTTAGTCCATTCATCATTTATCATTGTTGCTAGAATGTGTTGGTTGTTTTTAGGTAGTTGGCTTCCTGAATAGAAGGTGTCACTCGAGAGTTGTATCTCATCATGGTCCATAGAGTTTTGAACTACTTCAGGTTGATTAGAAACACTGTTTTCATTGGTCTCTGATGATTCATCAAGTATATTCTCATCACTGACTGGCTCTTCTGCCATAGAAGCTCTTGAAACTGTTTCACTCTTACTTGGAGAGTTCTTATTTGCATTGGTGTTGGTTTCGATTTCCACATTCTCATGCATTAAATGGTTTGGATGAACCTTTACATACACTGATCCATGTTTCACCATCACTGTTTGACCTTCCACTTTGATCACACAACCAGATCACTTCCATGCTCACATTCCCTCTCTTTCATAGTAAACTGTATCTCCATTTTGGTATATTTTTTATGTGAAATATCAATGCATGTCAAATCTGTTGACTGGATTCTGCTGAGATAAAGGCCTGATGAGCCGGGTGAAGTGCATTTTTTTTTTTTTTTTTACAAGAACTTCAGATTTTGATGTATAATCAAGGGCTGGTAATTTGTTGAGAACAGATGGAAAATTTGGATTTTTTTACAAACACAAACTGATTTGGAGAATAGCCATGCATATTAGCTTTTTGCTGAGACTGCCCATGCCAATGCATCATTTAGGAAAGAATACATCATTTAGGGAACATTTTGTATCTTCCTTCACTTTAATCACCATATCTGTTAGTATAGTATTATAGTGCTCATTTATCCCTTTGCTTCAGGGGGATTCAGTTATTGTATTTACTATCTGTGTATTCAGTTTCTTTCCCATCTCTCGAAAATCATCATTGAGAAATTCTTTTCCATTGTCACTGAGTATCCTATTAGGTAGACCAAAAAGTGAGGCCCACACATCAAATACTGCTGAAACCACACAGTCTTGCATGCTGCATTGACTTGGAAGGCATGTTCAATTATATGCAGGATGAAGTTTCCATCTAAATCTATGGCAATTGATTCATTAAATACTTTAGACAGAGGAACACATACAATTGGATTGGGGGAAGTTTTCTTATATTTTACATATATTTGGCAATTTTCATGAATTGTTTCAACTGTTTTCAGCATTGCTCTGTCACCAATACCACCATCCTTTAGATGTTTCTTCAGTCTACTCCCATTATCTGTTTATAAATCTTTATACATGATTTCTTTTTTTCTGCATAATTTGCTTGCATAACTTTATAAAGATTAGAGATATACACAGGCACTGGCTTAGTTTCATTATCCTGATATGCTGCTCTGGAGTTTTTGTTGATTGGTACTGCATAATACCCAGATGACATGAATTTGAGAGCTGTTTTTTTGCAAACATAATGACTGTGTCTTTTTGGAAGTTAATTGTGGTCTTTGCTTTTTTCATTGCATCATTACTAAGCAAAGGGATATCATTACTGATAACAGTAGATCCATTTGTTATCTCTTTGGTACCTATATTGACGGGAATCTTCACACAAATTAGTGAAGAGTACACATTGTTATCACCAAAACAGAATTTCCTGTCACTGTTTTGGTAAATTACTTGTTTTTTACTCCTTTCATCCAGTGAATTAATATAACATTGCAACCAATTTTCTGAGCATACATTCCTAGTGCAACCACTATCCAGTGCAGCACATCCAAATGTTTCTCCAAGCAACCTACCATGATGTGTTAAGTCTAGCCTTCCTCCTCATAAAGTGCTCCATATGCATGAGATTGATGAGGACAGTTCTTTGCCCAGTGAAGGATAGATTTACAAATAAAACATTTTGTAGTTCTTCCAGCTTGGTCAATTGGGTTTCTCCTGACAATGACATTTTTGGAGGCTGCATCATCTCTTCTGTTGCTCCCTCAACTTCCAGCTGCCCTACCTCTGCCACAAAATCTATTCTTTTGTATATAAAGTATATCTGCTGGTTTCTCTTTGATGCTTTTAGTTAGACTATAATTCTTTTCTGCTTTGGAGACAGCAATATCTTCTAATTTTGTAAGTTGCACTTTCATTTCCTCATATCCCAATTTAGAAATTGTTACTCTTACAAGTTCTGTTTTACTTGTTTCTAAGTTAGCACTTTTCAAGTGTCTGTATGCTCTAATTTGATCTGGCAGCTCAATCTTGAAAGACTTAATTTTGTTGTAGAGTCTCTCAAAGTCATAGGTTTCAGCTGGCCTCTGGTATTCTTCAAATTCAGTATATGCTATCTACGTCCTCTTTAGAGTTCATCAAGTTTGGCAATTAGTTTATCAAAGCCATCATCTGAATTTAGCTCTTTGATTGACAAATTTAATGTTGCATATCTGGCTCTGCCCTCCAAAGATAAGGTAACTGTTGGTGCTTGTTCTTTTTTTCTCTATTTTGGAACAAATTACCCACAATTTAAATTCCTTCAACCATGTTTCATATGCTTGGGTGTTTATCAATTTTGGTGGGTTTTTGGAAATTGATGTCTTTAATTTGGATTTAATTGATTTCTTGATAACTGTTAAAACTTTGCCTTATTCAAGTGACAAAAACACTTATGCAAGTTAAATCCAGTTTTATATTCTTAGGATAGTGGAAATAACCAAAAAGGAATACTAAAACACAAAAAAACCACAATGCTAAAATTTAAGTCAAAGTACCTTTTTCACCTGTAATCTGTTTCCTTTTACGTTGCGTCAACCACAAATTTCCTTTTTTTTTCTCTTGTTTTGGTAATCTATTTCCTTTTTCTTTGTTTTGCTCTGCTACCATGTTAGTTTCTTATAAAAAGACAGTGTCAACCAATATGGTGGCTATTTATATGCAACCACTCCAGATGAAGGGAGATAATCAACACTGTCACTCAACTCAGATACTCATGGTAGTCTAAGTACACTGAGTCTTTTTATTGAGACACTATCTCTAGAAAGGTTGCTATTCAATGCTAAAGACCTCATCCTAGCCCTCTCTCTCTCTCTCTCTCTCTCTCTATATATATATATATATATATATATATATATATATATGTGTGTGTGTGTGTCTATAAAAATAGATATTAAGTCCTAAATCTTGTTAAAGCTTATCTGAAATAATTGATAACCTAAATTCCAAGGGAGATAACTAGTTTTTTTCATCTTTATTCAGCATATTACTTTAAAGATGTAATATAGAGCTTAATTTAGACTTTAAAATGCTCTTCATTTGCTATTTGTAAGTGTAGTGTTGTTTTTCAGCATATGAAAACATTTAACTGAATCTAAAACTATCCTAAGATATAAGATGATTTATTTATTTATTTTTTTGCAGGGAGGTTACTGTTTGACTTCTCTTGCTGAAGGAGTAGCTCTTTCTTTAAGAGAATTGTTAGGTGATCCTTGTCCAAATATAGGACCACTACCACCACCAAGTGACAGGTAAAGATAAATATGTTATAGTCATGCTGATGGAATCATGACATTTTAAATTATATTTATTTTTGTTTGTATCTTTATTTATAGTGAGAAAATAACATTGTACACCCAAACATACATGAATTAATTTAATTCATTATTAACAATATTTACTAATGTCATTATCTTTGTTATTATCTTCATATCACATCAAAACATTGGTTCTTGTCTGATCATCAAAGTTAAGCAATACTAATTTAATTCATTATTGATATTCATTATTATTCACTACTCCACCAGAGGTTTGGTGGAGTAATGTATAGTGGCTTGGATTGAGGAACTGGAGGGCCAAGTTCAAATTTCAGTTGAATCCATTACATTCACGTACATGCTAATACCATTGGGAAAAGTGTGAATCTTCTTCTTCTCTCCCCAACTATAGGTAAATAGCAGGACAGACCTGGTTCTATAGCCTTGGATGGCAATTGGTCTACTGCAGAAAGAAATTTCAACCTACTGCGGGAAAAAAAATCTGCCTTGTCAGTTATGTATTGAAAGATATATGATCACCTAAGCATGTATCACGCATGGCACATAACTGATTAACATTATTTACAAATGTCATCTTTGCTGTTATTATCACAACATTTTGGAGGTTTATGCCCATATCACATTGAAACACCAGTTCTTGTCTGATCCCTAAAGTTAAACAACATTGAGCAGGGTCAGTACTTAGACAGGTGACAGCTTGGGAATACCAGGTACGGTAAGAGTGGATGTTTGGGTGGCGTAATGGATAGTGGCTTGGAATAAGAAATCAAAGAACCAAGTTCAAATTCCAGTTGGATTGTTACATTCCAGTTGTTACATTCACTTATGCACAAATACCCTTGGGAGAGGTATGAATCTACCTCTTCTCCTCCCCAGCTATGGATTAAATAGTAGGTTTTATTTCTAAAAATCATTATTGTCTCAAAAATATTAATACAATATCCACTCACAAAAAATTATAATTATTCTAACAATCCAAAATATGTTTCGACTTTAAATAACCTACAAAAGGTTGATAAACTGTAAAAAAACATTTTGGATGTTGTGCTCTCTATGCAGCCTTCTTCAGTCAATCCGGGTAATTTTCATGAAATTTGGGAGGGATGTCTCATCTTGGTTTTATTTATTTTATTAACTAATGTTCACCCAATAAAAGGCCCAAGAGCCATTCAAGGTAGAGTGTTACTGTGTGGTGTTGCATAAATGTAAGAAATGGCAAGCGGTGAAGTTCTTGGTGCTATGCAGGAAAGACAATAGCCAACTCTAGACTTGAATTTGACAAGATTTAATTAGTAAATAATATTTCAGAGTTCAGTTGTAGATATTAGAAGTAATAGCATGGAAATAGACTTTGAAAGGAACCAGAAACCTAATCCTAAACAGAAAATCAAGGATAAACCACTACTCCTGTTCAAAACACTAGAGAGGAGTGTTAACAAGATAAGCAAGCCTATCTACTCCTATTATTTAGTGCTGCTCAGTTATTGCCTCCTCTGTTTCCACCAAATCTAATTCTGTGCTACTTCGCCCAGAGATTGAACTTACTATAATTCCACCAAATTCATGAACCAATGCTTTAATCCACAAGACTACTGTCCCATGGGACAATCCTGAACCTAGAACGTGAAGCCTTAAACCTAATGTTGTTCTTTCCTGCCTGCTGCTGTTGAACATGACAAGATATCCCTATATATGGTTAGGAGAATGAGAAAAATCTACTCCTGTAGATTAAATAAAGTGTTCAGTTCAAAATTCTCTAAAAGTTACCTGAATTAACAGACACCTAAAGAAAGCTGAAAGGTACAACAGCTGAAATATTGTGATAATAATGTCAAACAAATGAATATAAATAATGATAATAAAAATGTTAATATAATAAAAAATGATAATAAAAATGATAATATAAATAATGATAAAAATAATAATGTAACTAATGATAACTGTTCATACTAGAAATTAAAACAGTAATTTAATGCAATTTTTACTTTTATTTATTTCAGTATAACTGAAACAATACTAAATGTCATCAAAGTACAGCGGCCATATTGGCAAAGACTGCGCAACCAAGAATATCTGCAAGCATCAGAAAAATGCATTTATGAGGAGGTTAATGTAATGCCACCAAGGTATAATATAATCATTCAATCTTTTTCATTTAAAAGCAATACATTAATCCTAACAGTGAACTCCTCATTCCAAACTCAGAACCAAGGAAGATTAAAGTCTTGTAAGTTAAAATAAAACGATCTTTAATTTTATGTAGTGTGTAAAGAGACTGTTTCTAACATGTAATAATTTGTTTTGAAATTCTAATTAAGCAAAGTATTAAGAAACAGAAAAATTCTTTTAGAAACAAAGAGTACTGAACTTTTATGTAATACCAGTCCTCCTATATGGCAATGAATTCTGGACTATCTCCTCACAGATGAAGAAGAGACTTGAAGCAATAGAAATGTGATTCTACACAGGAATGTTGAGAATACCATGGACAGAACATGTGAGCAATGACAAAGTTCTAGAGACAATGGAAACAAAAAGGATGCTGATACTTAACATCAGAAAGAGAGAGTTGAAATTTCTCAGGCACATAATGAAGAAAGAGGGCTTAGAAAATTTGATACAAGACAGATTGAAGGCAAGAGGAACAGAGGAAAACAACATGTAACATACTTAGTGAGCATGAGTAAATGGATGGTGGAACAAGTTTTAAGAGAAATAATAAAAAGACAGAATTTATTAAGTTACAAAGGACAGGATATTGTGGAGAGCCATGATCACCAACATCCTGAAAGGACATGGCACACAGAAGAAGAATACAATTTTTGAAAATTTAGTCAAAAAATATTTAAGTGATTTTGTTTGTTTCCTTTTTATTTTATTGTGAAGAAAATGTAATATTAAATAAAGAAATAGTTTTAAAATGATAATTGCACAAACTTATATAAATATATATATTTTCATTGTTAATGAGTTCTCTCATTTTCTGTTGGTAAATGTGTTTATCCATGATTACAATTCTCCCGCCCTTATCAGAAGTAGATATATGGATATTTTTGTTGATACCATAGATTACATAATTAAAAATCACCACAATGACTCCAATTTTACCAAAGGCCTAATCACAGCTACATAAAAAAAAAAAAAACGACACTGCACTTCCTTGAAGATACATAAAAGCCCTGAAAGAATTAGCTAACAACAAAAACATCCATATATCTACTTCTGGTAAGGGCGGGGGAATTGTAATCATGGATAAACATGTTTACCAACAGAAAATGAAAGAGTTAATTAATGATGATAACATCTAAAGTAAATGAAAACAAAGCTATAAAAGAAACACAAATATATATGTACAAAATAATCTTCATTTTGATTTCAGTAATGGGAAAAATATTTGTATTAAGTTACAGTCATGATAGGCTTTCTGGCAAACATGCATAAATGTGCCTGTGATAAGACATTCTGTCAAAAGGATGATTTTTTTTCCCATGACACTGCTTCTTTTTAACTACATTCACTCTTTGGCAATGTTTATTGTTTTAAAAAGTGATGATTAAAATTGAAGTAAAACCTAAACAGATCATGAAAGTGAATTTATACATTTTTTTTACAACAAAAATATTAAACAATTTATTTATTAGATTGTTTATTTACAAGAATAATTTTACATTTACAACATTCTAAAACTAATACAATTAGAATTAATGAATGCAATGCAATATTTATCATTTACCAATTTATAAAGAAATAAATATGAAAATAATTTTTATTCCTAAATTTCTAAACATTTATTAAATTATTAAAATATCCAAACCAACCATAATGAAATCCTTATTATTTTCCATTTTATAAAGTTTGAATTAATTGGCAATTAGATGATGTTTTGTCAACGATTCCAATAAATAATATAATAAATAGTATTTATTATTTTTGTTGTCAATTCTCAAGAACAAAGAAAATGTATAAATTCACTTTCATATGTTTAGGTTTTATCACAGTTCTAATCATAACTTTTTAAAAAAAATAAACATTTTAGAGTGAAGGTAGTTTAAAAAAATGGTGTTATGTGAAAAACCATCTTTCTGACACACTGTCTTTTTGCAGGCATGTTTATCCATCTTTGCCAACTTAATTTTTTTATATCTAACATCAGCTAGCAATATACTGTATTTGATGACATAATATAAAACCTCCCTATTTCAGCAGGTCATATTAAAGAAGTACTTTTATAGTTCATTTACTGGTAAGTATTCAATATTAGTGAATAATTACAGAAAAAAAATGTTTTGGACAAAACACACAACATGGAAAGAAAAATAATTTCCCTGAGAACTGCTGCCTCTTGAAAGAATCTGTCAAGAAAGAAGACTTCTTTGAGTTTTCATTTGCCAGTCATTTTGCATTCTCAAAAGAGACAGGTTTATTTTAATAAAATAATTAACTAAAAATTATTGATAGCATTGATATTCCAAGTGTAAAATTTATGGTTAAGTTTAATTGACGAAATTATCAACAAGCAGAATTACCAAAATTCTCAATAAACCATAAGAAGAAGAGAAAGAAAAAAGAACAGAGCAAAATAATATAGACAAATAATATATATAATCTATGTCAAAAGTAAAGCAACTATAAGACAGTAATGAAGCAAACAGTTCACAAAGTAGGAATAGTATTCATGTGCAAAATGGGATACAATCAAGTGGTTAGAGTGTTTTAACTTCAAGAAAGAATAAAAATGTAAGGATAAAACCAAGATTTGTTCTTCTTTTTTATTAGTTAGGAAGAAATCACAGCATGCATTTATAGAATTTGTCTATAAATTTAGGGAGGGGAGTTTTTTAGCAGTCATACCCAGAGAGATTGTAATCAACATCAAGTGATAATGGCATAGATAGTAATCTGAAATTTGATATGAATCAGCTGAATCTAAGATATGGGTATGTGCTAAGCATACTGATTATTGGTACAGAAAGTGGAATCAACATGCTAAGTTCAAATTCCAGCCTAGTTTATTGCATTCACTTTCACACAAATACTCTTTTCATCATTTCATTTTTTCTTTGGTTTTGTGTTTTCTATTTTTGTACCAACTATTGTAGTAGTGTTGTTCCTATTCTTGACTTAAAAAAAAATTATGTCTGTTTTTATTGCTATAATAGATTTTTTTAATGTTAATAAGATTTTCATATTCATTAGTTTTCATCATTATCATTCTTTTTTTTCTTTTTTTGCTATCCTCAGGTGAATAGTTTTGTTTCAGATATAAATTTCTGTTTAAACAGTCAAACCATTCAAAAAATATTTTGTCATATAGAAAGCTAATCTCAAACTGATGATTTTAGATAATTTAGAAATTTTTGGTACAAGTATACACTTTTTATGATGTGATTAAATCTATATTTGTTATCAAATAGTAATGGTAATATTAACCATTTCCTTATAAGGAAACATTCAGCATTTATTGAATGAGCAGCCTCTATTAATGTCAGTTAAAAATATAAAATCTTTCTCTTAAAACAATTTTTCAGGAAAATAGGTTTCTCATGACCAATAGCTGTTATTGCAGTTTTCAGTATTGATAATGGTTTTGTTTTTCAGGAAAACAGCTTTCTCAAGTCTGGTAGCTTTTATTGCTCTTTCTAATATTGATAAGGATTTCTTTCCTAAGTTTTTATTTGAAGTAGTAGTATCTGAAGTAAAATTGTTTTAGACAATAA